TGATAAAATTCTCAGCAAGTTCAATTAGAAAGCCTTGATATTGTTCTATTGTGAATTGAGATGCACGTTTGCTTTGTATTGAATAATAATTCTCCAAGAAATCATTTGTTCCCAAGCTCACTAGATATAGTGCTTCTTGTATTATGTATTTTGCTTTTTTGCTCCCTACATATGCTTCTAGTTTCTTTTGATACTCCTTGTAGTTCTCTATTTCCTTCCACAATGGTATCACACTCTGTCAAAGGAGTCAATTAATTAGATAAAAATGGAAGGAATTTTGACAGGAGTATAATCGCTCATCAAAATAATTGATAATAGGCATACTTTCACCTATTTTGGCGGATTATATATACATAATACTTCTTTTGTCCCAATTTAGGTGGATTATATACCATCTTCCTAATTTAGGCGGATTATGTATACATACTATTTTCTCTATTCCAATATATATGACACACTTTCTTTTAGTCTATTTCTAAAAAATGACATACTTACTAATTTGACAAATAGTTACTTCCTCTGTCTAACAATAATTATTGTCCACTATTGATTTGACACATATTAAGAAGCAGTAATTGATAGGGGTAATTTATCAAATCACCCTATTAATATAAGTCATCTAAACATTGAAAAATGAATATTAGTATTTAATAGCAAAGGTAAAATGACACAACATAATAAATTTTTCACTGATTTTATAAACTAGACAAATATTATTAAACATCTCAAAATAATATAATGAACGAGTAAAAGTAAATGAATAAAGTGATATTTTATCCATCTTAAGTCCCACTTACCGACAAAAAGTTCATAAAGTAGTTATACTTCTTTTAAGGAAAATTTTGAAAATTTCCAAAGTCTTTCTATATTTTTAAATTATATGCCCAATAAAACTAGATTACATAAATTAAGACGAAAGAGTATAAATGCTCCAAAAAGAACCCAGTGTGCACGGAGAGTGGTTAATAAATGTCCTATTCACAATTCACCCAGCAAACACAATTATATTCCGGGCCACAAAAAATAAACAGAATTATATTATTTCAAAGTCAATTTAAGTTATGGCCATGGATGATAGTATTAGGATAAAAATAATTGTAATTTATAGCGGTGATAAATTAAACGGTAAATAGACTATATAATATAATATTTTGATCAAGTGACTTACAAATTCAAAACAAAATTAATATTTCAATATACATAAAATTTATTGAGATTATAATCTCTGGCTAAATGAAACTCTCAAAAGATTATATTGTGGATACCTCGATGATCTTTTATTATGATATAAGAACGGCGTTTAATTAATTTATAATGTCCAAACTTTTTCTTCGAGAAAGAAATAACCTAATATAAAAGAGTTTTAAATTTTTTTCTTTTAGAAAAATAAAAACAACTATTCTACTAATACTTTAATTTCCCATCCAAAGAAAAATAAAATTCAAATACGATATGAAAATCATGACGAGACAAATATTCTATCCATGAAATGATTTGTCTCACTTTCTTTTTTGGTCACTTAAAATAAAAATGTTATATCCATCTCTTTCTTTCAATTTATGTGACAGTTTTAGTTTTATCAAAAATTTGCGCATAAAATCTTCAATTTTTAAAAAATAAAATTTATATATTTATAAACTACATAAAACTATTTAAAAGATACATGAAATTTGTGGTAAAAAATAAAATTATTTGAATCTCAAAAAATGTGTTACATAAATTGAGACAGATCGAGTAGTAAGTAGAGAGATGGAATGGATTGCTTACTAGAACTTGAGAAGTGGCATTATCATAACCAGTACCAGCAGAAGCAAAACAAACTCCACCAGCAAAATCAGTTATACTAAACATTGGATCCAAATAAGCAGGCACAAATGGTCTCAAACCAAAAGCCTCAGATATAAAATCTGGCGGGATACGTCCATTACAAAACCTTCCTGTTGGCATTTTACCATAAAAATCACGTCCATAAGGCTCAAAATTACTCTTAAGAACAGTAGAAATCTGGTTATTATTCCCAGCATCTACCGACGAATCGCCGAATACTATAATTGCTGGAACTTTTCCTCCTACAACACAAGGGATGATAATTAGTTGGACAAAAATTATAATAAGACATGGAATGAACTTGTAATTAGCTTCCATTTTTTTTAAATTTTGGGTGGTTGAGTTTATTGTTTAAGGTTATGGGGATTTGAGTTAAGTATATTCACTTCTTATACAGGTGAATAGGTGGGAAAGAGGGTCCTTTGGCAGGAGTTTGTTGGTGTATCATTAATGATGAGTAATGAAAAAATTATCTACGTGTTACTCATCCCGTTTTATATTAGTTGTCTAAAATATTTTGTACAAGTGCTTTAAAAGGCGAACGCAATTTCGAGATACGACGCGTAAGTCCAATGGATCTATGAGATATATATATATATATATATATAATGCATCTTCAATTTAGTAATTTTATTACTAAAAATTAATAGATAAAAATAAAACTTTTAATGATAAATCTAAATAAATCACTAATGATATAGAAAAAAGATATTATAATTTTTATTTGAGAAAGGTAATAACACAAAAAATAATCACAATAGAGATAATCTTTAAAATAAAATCATTATCCATCCCCACATGTATTACTTTTCCATCCTCAACTAATATTAGCAGCAATTATTGTTCATATCTTGCCAAGAAGGAAATGATAAAAAGGGTAAGAGTAATAACAAAAAATGAATAAATATAATGATATGAAATCTCTATTCTATCAATTTCAAGAACAATTATCTAAAAATTATTTATAACATTGTTATTTTAGTTGATTTATTTATTTATATATTTTAGAAAAAAACATTATTATAACATGAAAAATAAGATAGCATAAAGTATCATATATTACACCACTAATAAAAAAATAATTTATAGCAAAAATATTTTTAAAACAATCAAAATCAAAGTCAATGCATAAAAGTACACTTTTTAGCCTGGGACTTTACGCTCGGTATATTTCCTCCTTCAATTTGTGTAGCAGAGCGTTTTTGAAATACCCCACGCTGAAACTCGTCATAGGACTCACCCTGAAAACGCCTTTGAAAACTATGCTTCCACACACACCTCAAGAAAGCTTTAAGTAGAGTTGTATTTTTCAAAATTAACCTTAGTAATAATGATTTCGAGCTTTAAATTTGACTATTATTACTTTATATAATTATTTAATACTAAGAAGTAAGAATAATGTTAAAAAAAATTAAAACTCTCTTAAATTACTAATGAACAATTAAAATAATATCCATTTTTGATAGAAGGAACATGAAAAATTAAATGGAGGGAGTAGAACTTTAGTACTCTATTATGTATATATATAATTTCCGTATCTTCATGGAATTCTTCAATCCTTTCTGATGAATTTAGTTATGAGTAGAGAATCAGTCTCCCTCATAGCCAATTTATTTTAATTTGTGTGTTAAGTGTTTGATTTGTGAGGCCTTTCACAAGAATTAGCTAAGGACTTTCACGCATTATAAGCTTTATGGATGAATTGATGGAATATTTGGAATACTCCAACATGAAAGGTCTAAAGATATATTCAATATATTATATTAAGTATTCAACCATTTTAATTACATTATAATTTTAATGAGGGATAACTTGATTTTTTTTAACTACTTTCAATCCGTAGTATAAATGGTAGAATATTATGGCCGTCTATAATTCATTCTTATAAGGAGATCTGTATGAGGATATTTACATGGACCTTCCTCAAAGATCTCAGAATCAGGGTCAGGGGCTAAACAAGTATGTAGATTCTCTAAATCCTTGTATATATTAATGTCAACAAACTTAATGTACTCCAAGCTAAGTGAAGAAAAAAAAATTAACTAAAAAAATAAGAATAATAATAGTAATGTTTTTACACGAAAAATAAATAAATTAAAAGCTTTTAGAATACAATCTTTTAAATGACAAATTACATCACTTAGCGAGTTGAAATGAAGAGTACAAATATCATATCGTCTTGATATGACTATTATATGCAATCATTTTTTTTTTATCTAACTCTAGATGATATACAATCTAGCAAATCAAACTAAAAAACAACACAAGGTATAAAATCTATCGATCTAGGTATACAAAATACATGATATTACACAAATTGATGGAGGACATTTTTCATCAAGGAATTGGTGATAATTTGGTTAGTTTTTTGGGTGAGATGGAAAGAATCCCAAAAAACATACTTATTTGGGTCAGGGCATGTGAGTGGATTTAACTTATTACATAAGTAACTCATTTCGAATAATCCTGTGCCACAACATGCTATACGTGCCACTTCAAATCCTGTTTTAAACAAAACAATTCATTAGAACATAATCATGCAATCCATTAAAAAACACTGAAATTAGCTACGAATTTCGTTACTGATATGTAGTTATTTGCTCATGGCTAATGAAAATGTCGCTAATTCTCTGCTAAGTAAAATTAGTGACATTTTTTATTGTTTAGCTATCAAATTTTTATCGTCACTAAATCCAATTTTTTAGTACATATATGTATATATATAGAAATGGATACTTACTTTTTAGAAATAATTACAAAATAACTATACTTGCTAACTTTTAACTTAATTTTACTATTTTCTTTGTCACATTTATGTGACAGTATTCTGATTTCGAAAGTCAAACAAATTATTCATGCCTTTTAAACTTTTTAACTATTGATTACTACTTTAACTTATAGTTTAAATCTCAAATAGTGAAAAATGTAATATCAATTAAAAAAATGGGCGTTCCCGTGTATATAAGTATTAGGTTCACCAATGCACACAATTATATTATTATTATTATACATCTCCAACCTGTTTTAACTATTCCTCGAGATCTTTCTACTTATGACCCTTGAATTATAGAAGAAACAATCTCAATTGCCTCTAAAAGCTTATGAAATATGTTCAAGTTGTATGATCTCAGTGATAAGGATATTTTGTGTGCCACTTGTGATGATGAGGAAATTTAACAAATAAGGTAATTGAAAGAAGAAAACTTACCAAATGAGGCAGGATTTTGGACCATTTGAAGTATGATACCATAAGGATTAGCAAAAGCTATTCTAATCCCAGGAAGCTCCTTATTTAACTTTTGAATCAAAGCACTCAACATCTCATTAAACTTCAAAGCACAATCATTATAGTTGTTACTGCATGTATCACCTTGTCCTCTTAACATATTTGCTGCTCTTTCTAAAGGTAAACAACCCATTGGAGGAAGTCCAGTTAATGATATTTTCCTAGCTCCAAGTTGATAAATTTCTTTAATAAAATTCTCAACATGTCCAATAATAAACCCTCTATATTGTTCTGTTGTGTATTGAAATGCACGTACACTTTGCATTGCAAAGTAATTCTCCAAGAAATCATTTGTTCCCATGCTTACAATATAAAGTGCTTCTTGTATTATATATTTTGATTTTTGGATCCCTACATATGCTTCTAGTTTCTTTTGATACTCCTTGTAGTTCTCTATTTCCTTCCATAATGGCATCACATTCTGTCAAAGGAGACAATCACAATGGTTAGGTCTCGTGTATAGTCGCTCATCAAAATAATAGCTGCTAATAGTATCCTTCTGTATATATATACATATGTTATACACGTAGACGACTAGTAGTATATATGGCTAGTGGTTGTAATTTTTTTTTTGGCAAGTCGCCAAATGTGTAACTCTCCTCGAGAGTTTAATGCATTGGTCAATTGATCAAAAATAACTATAAATGTTACCCAAATATACACTAATTACGTATAATGTGTATATTGTATATACATTTATTAGCTATTTTTTTTATGCATATACCATGTAAAGCTCCCTAAGAATGGACTTAAGTTATATGCATTGTTTGTTTAATTTAATTACTGATTAATGTTATTTTCTTCGTTTTAATTTATGTAAATCTATTTGAATGAATAGGGAGTTGAAAAATTCCTCGATCCATATGGTTTCCTCCTTAAAAAAAAAGGGAAAAAAAATGGAGTTGAATTTTTCTTTTTTAAAACTTTTAAAATTTATATAATTTGTATGACTCTAAATTCTTCTCATTAATTTTGAATTGAAAAGTTCATATAGTACATTGTTCCTAAATCTGGAAAGGAGTCATTTCTTTCTTTTAATAATAATATAGACAATATAAATACCTGGTATGCTTCTTCTTTTTTTCGCAAAACTTTTAGTTGATGGTGAATTTGAAAAATAATAAAAATGAAATAATTAAGGATCCATAGAGAAATGAATATTACTCCACGATGCTTTAATTATTATACCTAAAATTACTACGTAAATTGATAATAGGCCCTTCCTCACCTATTTAGGCGGATTATAAGACATTCTATAAATGCTCCATGGACAAAATTAATTAAAACCCAATTGTTTTCTAGCCCAAAAAGGTTCATTTTTTTGTTTTCTATAATTAAATAAACCTAATTATGTGCACAATAATATAATGGTATTTTCTCCCAACAAACACAATTATATTCCGGGCCACAAAATAGAAGAAGCACAACAATATAATGTCATTTTCAAGTATATAAATAAAAATTAAATATGCAAAAAAAATAGTTTAATAATTTTGTGTATAAAGACTCTTTATTAATGTGCATATAATTGTTGTTAGAAGTTCTTTTTAATTTGTTATAATGCAAGAAGAAGAAATTGAATGCATTTGTTAACCGATTTAAAAATAATAATAGTAAGAATGAAAAAAAAAGAAAAAGACAAGTACTAGTAGTTTTTTTTTTTAAATTTATGACCATAATTGATTACCTTAAAATTATCATTAAATATAGGAAAAATGCTCAAATATGCCATCAAACTTTGAGAAAAGACTCATCTATGTCATCGTTAAACTATGCCATTTCGTTTGACAAAAAACTCATCCATGCCATTATTTGTTAACTGAAAATAATTTCAATTTTGCAAAATTGTTTTTTACACGTGATCAATTATGATTCAGTCACGTCATTAATTAAATCATTTTTTAAAGGAAAAATGTTCAAATATGCCATCAAATTTTGAGAAAAGGCTCATCTATGTCATTTCAGTTAACAAATAATGACATGATCAATGAGCCTTTTCTCAAACGAAAGTGACATAAATAAACCAAACTTTTAACGAATGACATAGACACACCTATCATGTCATGTCAGGTAAGACAAACAAATAAATTGAAATGGAGCAAGAAATATATAAATGTTGCAATAAGTAGATATGGAATTGAATCTTACTAGAACATGAGAAGTGGCACTATCATAACCAGTACCAGCAGAAGCAAAACAAACTCCAACAGCAAAATCAGTTATATTATACATTGGATCTAAATAAGCAGGCACAAATGGTCTCAAACCAAAAGCCTCAGATATAAAATCTGGTGGAATACGTCCATTACAAAACCTTCCTGTTGCCTTTTTATCATAATAATCACGTCCATAAGGTGGAAAATTGCTCCTAAGAACAGTTAAAATTTGATTATTATTCCCAGTATCTACCGTCGAATCGCCAAATACGATAATTGCTGGAACTTTTCCTCCTACAACACAAGAGGTAATTAGTTGGACAAAAAATAAAATTAGACATGGCATGAAGTTGTAAGCTGTCATTTTTTTTTTTTTATAATTTTATATTTTTTTTTTGGGGTGATGTAATTTTTTGTTTAGGGTTATGTGGATTTAAGTCAAGTATACTAATGTTTTTATACAGATAAATAGGTGGGAAAGAGGGTCCTTTGGTAGAAATTTGTTGGTTTATAGACTAGTAACCACTAGTACTCTATTTTATAGGTAGTCCCTTGTTTTTTTTTTTTTTAAATTTCTAAAGTATAATTCATTAAATCCATCAAATTAGTTTAGTAAAGTAAATTTCTCTCTATATAGAAGTGGCCAGGGAAGTAGCTGACGGTTGTCCTGCCAGCTTGCTTTCCGGAGGCTATTTTGGTCATTTTAGGTTATTTTTTATTTGTTTGTCTTATTTTTTTTTAAATTTATTATATATTAAAAAATTATGTAAAAAATATTAAAATTACAACAATTAGCAGCTTAAAATATTAGAAGATACAAAAAATTCGGTTGCCTCTCGAAATTATATCAATACTAGATAAATTGGGACAAAGAAAGTAACACATATTATTTGAAATATAGTAAGAAAGCACTATAAATCACATATTTAAACAAAAAAATAATATATATTGGGTCCATGCTAGCACTGGCTCAAAATCTAGTATTTTCTTAGAGGAAATTTCCTTAACTATTGCTTAATTACGCTTCATAGCTATAAGATAAACAAATTATATGCAAATAGTTAGGGTAAACATATACAAATTATGGATTTATACAATTAGGAATCGAATTATACAAATTCTAGACGATCCATGTAAATATGGTTATATGTTAGTGATGAAAAGTAATTTCTTCAATATGAAGAAAAAATACATCATAAAATGTTAGTCAAAATTCTTATAGTTTGACTCTAAAAAAGGAAATCATGACAATGAAAAGTGGACGAAGGGTGTATATTATAGTCTATTTTAGAAAAATAATTTATAGATTGTAGAGTCTAGAGACCTGTAAGAATATCCTCATAATTAAATACTTTTGATAATTTTAAGGAGAAAGATAATTATAAATAAACTTTTTGATAGTTTTAAGGAGAAACACTTGAAAGTTTTTTGTTTTTTTTTAAAATTTTTTTTTTACCCTCCCTAGGAGCTCCCACCCCTTTTTGCTCCCTTGGTGACTTGAACTTGGAACCTTTGGATTGGAAGTGAAGGGTGCTTACCATTCGAGCAACTCCCTCTCGTCGAAACTTGAAAGTTAAAAGAGAGATGATACCATATTTTTTTATTTTAAAAATAATAATTTTAAGAGAGAGATGGGAGTAAATAGAAATTTCCTTCCTTGTTTTTGAGCAAAATACACGCATGACTATTATATGCCAATTCTTTTAAGATTTTTATTTGTTAAATATCTATTTAACTAAAACATGTCAATTTAATCTAAGAATTGTATATATGTGTCAATTCCGCTTATTTAAGAGTGTATATTACAACTTTTAAATGTACTATTTTATAATTACTACTAATAAATTTTTAATTACGGTCTTAATAGATTTGTATTAATTTATATTATATTTATTTTATTTTATTAAGTGTTAACATTAACTAATAAGTAAGAGAAAAATGTGGGGTTGCGTTTTTTGGGACAAATCCATTACTATAAGTTAGACAACTATCTTACTTCTATATATTAGCCATCTTTATGTGAGTTCTTTTCTATTAAGTAAATCATATTAAATTTTAATGTAGTGTAGATAGTGTAAGTTCATTAGAAATCAAGATCACTTGTCTTATTGGTCTACATAAGGAGCTAGGGGTAAACATCAAGCAGCCAGTTCAACTCTATTGTGATAGTAAGGCTGCAATCCAAATTGCATCCAATCCTATTTTTCATGAGAGGACCAAGCATTTTGACATTGATTGTCACTTTGTCAGAGAAAAACTACAACAAAAAATGATCAAGACTAATCATGTATCAACAAGAGATCAGTTGGCAGATCTACTTACTAAAGGCTTGTGGAAAGCAACACATCTACACCTAATGTCCAAGCTGGGGGTAAAAGATTTGTTTCAGCCACCAGCTTGAGGAGGGGTGTTATGAAGCAAGGAGTTAGTGTAGTATTAGCTATAGAATCTGTTAGCATGTGTCAGTAACAGATTCAGTTAGTAAAGTAGTTACAACTAACTATAGTTAAGTTAAGTCTACTAGTCTAGTTAAATGCTTAGATGTGATGTATTATAAATAGAATAGATACTACCAAAGATGTACGATTGATTTTTCATGTTTTAGTTCTGTAGCTCAATATAGATTTGTTTCTCTCTTCTTCCTCAATTAGTGAATCCCCATTACTGATTCTAACATGGTATCAAAGCCCGAGGTATCACTCTGAGTATCTCTCTGTTTTCAGTGCAGCAGTAGGCTCGTGAAGGAGTAGTGTGCATTGTCCCAGAAACAGTGAAGATCAGAGTTCATTTGAGTTTTTTGCAATGGTGGATGCAGCTGCCATTAATTCAGTTACAGGGCCTCTTCCAGGAACTACGGGAGCTCATACAGGAGTCGATGCTCATCATCCTCTTCATTTACAGGCATGTGATACTCCAGGTAGTTCCTTGGTCTCAATTCAACTCACTGGATCTGAAAATTATTCTCTATGGAGTAGATCTATGAAGATTGGACTACTAGGAAAAGGGAAGTTAGGTTTCATTACCGGTCAGTATTCAAAGGATAAGTTTGCTGTCTCATTACATGATCTTTGGGAAAAATGTAATACCATAGTCCTGTCATGGATTATGATCTCTGTAAGCAGGGAATTGTTAAGTGGAATAGTCTATGCTAGTAGTGCTCAGCAAGTATGGACTGACTTGAAAGAGAGATTTGACAAAGTAGATGGCTCTAGGATCTTCTATTTACACAAGGAGATTGCTACACTTAGTCAAGGAATGCTGTCTGTGTCTAGCTATTTCTCCAAACTCAAAGAATTGTGGATGGAATTTGACTCTCTTATGCCATGTCCTAGTTGTGCCTGTGAAGTTTCTAAGACTTATGCAGCTCATTTTGAGTACCAGATGTTGATGCAGTTTCTCTTAGGGCTAAATGAGTCTTATAATCAGTGTAGAAGTCAGATTATGATGCAGGACCCAGCACCTTGTGTGAACAAGGCTTACTCTCTGGTTATGGCTGAGGAAAGCCAGAGGATACTTGGTAAATCCAATGCTGTAAGTGCTGATAATCATGGTTTGGTAAATGATGCCATGGCATTCTTCAGCAATAATAAGAGTCATGTACCTAGATCAGGCTCCAGTTCATACTCAGGACCTAATCATCCTTCAGGATCTGGTTCTAGATCTCATCAAAGATCTACCAGCAATCTCTATTGTGACTACTGCAATTGGAAAGGTCACATCAGAGCTACTTGTTACAAACTTCATGGTTATCCTCCTGACTGGAAGGGTAAGAAGAGAACACCACTTGGATCTATTCCTGCAGCTAATCTTGTGGGTGCTAATGCTGGTATTACTCAGCTGAGGCAGTATTCAACACATACTGGTCAAGGATCAACTCAAAGTGCTCTTGGAATGTCTCACAGTGGTAGTTTCTCTCCTACTACCTCTCATGCTCTTATGTCTAACAGGCAGTCTCCACTAGCTCATTTTGACCCACAGGTTCAGCAGCATCCTCACTTTTCTCCACAGCAGTATCAACAACTTCTACACATGTTGGATCAAGAGAATGAGAAGGCAAAGGCCAATACCAACTGTGACAATCTGATGGCATCAGGTATGATGCATTCCGCTAATAATAATAAATGGATTATTGACTCTGGAGCTTCTCAACATATGGTACACAATGAGAATTTGATTACACCACAAGTCTCTTTACAGAATAATTCATGTAACAAAGTTCATCTACCCACTGGTGCACTTGCTCGTGTTACTCACATTGGTTCTTCTCAGGTCCTTGGAGGGACTGAGATTTCCAATGTTTTGCATATTCCTGCCTTCCATTACAATTTGCTGTCAGTATCTAAACTAACAAAGGAGCTCAATTGTTGTGTCCTCTTCTATCCTAATTTTTGTGTCTTTCAGGACCTCTCAAATGGGACTGTGAGGGGGACTGGCAGACTGGAGAATGATTTGTATGTTGTGCATGCTGATAGTCAGCTGATCTCAGGAGATTCATTGAAGTCTACACAAGATTCAGTTCATGTAGCTAATGCAGTTTCGTCTTCTCAGTCTTGTAGCTTAGATATGTCTCTTTGGCATTAGAGACTAGGTCATGTGCCTGTTTCTACTATCAGAAAACTTAGTTGTTTCAAACATTTTCCAGCTAGTTCTTCTACCATTTGTACTGTATGCCCATTGGCTAAGCAAGCCAGACTATCATTTCCTTTGAGCAATACTACTACTACTGCATGTTTTCAACTATTGCATGCTGATGTTTGGGGTCCCTATAGAGTTCCTACTCATGATAATAAGAGATATTTTCTTATTTTGGTTGATGATTTCTCAAGATATACATGGCTATTCCTGCTAAATTCTAAGGCTGAAGTCATTGTTGCTTTAACTCAGTTCTTTGCGATGGTGAAAAATGTATTTTCAACTCAGATCAAAGTGCTTAGATCTGACAATGGGTGTGAGTTCTTCAACTCACAGGTCACTACTTTACTACATACTCTAGGTATTATCCATCAGAGTTCATGTACCTATACTCCTCAGCAGAATGGAGTTGTGGAAAGGAAGCACAGACACATCTTAGATGTGGCTAGGTCACTGAGATTTCAGGCTGGTTTTCCCCTTCATTTTTGGGGTGAATGTGTTAACACTAGTGTTTACCTAATAAACCGACTCCCATCTACTGTGCTGCAAGGACAGACTCCTCATGATTTGTTGTATAAAGGTCCCCCTGTACTTGATCATTTAAGGGTGTTTGGATGTCTTGTTTTTGCCACTGAGGTGAGGAAAGTTGACAAGTTTTCTCCTAGGTCTGTTCCTGCTGTGTTTGTCGGTTATTCTACTCTCCAAAAAGGGTACAAGCTTTATGCCTTAGCTACCAAAGAGTTCTTTATCAGCAGAGATGTGGTGTTTAAAGAGGCAGTATTTCCCTTCAAGCATATGAGCTCTGCTTGTCCCCCTTTATTTCCTGTCCTGCAGTTCCTTGAAGAGACTCCACTATTGGTTTCTGATCCCAGTCCTGCTGAGAACAATGCTGCTTCTCGTTCATCTGTCAGTGGATTTGATCTTCCTGCTGACTGTTTTCCTGATGATGGGAATGTATTAGGTGATCCTTGTGCTACTTCATTGACACCCTGTGAGACTGTTCCATTAAGAAGGTCTACTAGATCCACTAAGCCTCCTATATGGATGCAAGATTTCTTGACAGCTCAGCCTACAGCCTCCTGCAAGTATCCTGTCTCCAATCATGTATCTTATGCTCATCTCACTGCTTCCTATGGTGCAGCATTAGCTGCTTACTCCAGTATTTCTGAGCCTACTTCTTTTGAAGAAGATGTAGTCCAACCTAAGTGGGTAGAGGCCATGCAAGCTGAAATTTCTGCTTTGGAGGATAATAATACTTGGAGCATCACTGAGCTACCTCCTGGCAAGCACCCTATTGGTTGTAAGTGGGTGTTCAAGGTGAAGTATTTAGCCTCAGGTGCTGTTGAGAGATACAAAGCCAGACTAGTTGCTAAGGGGTTTCATCAGAAGGAGGGTCTGGATTACACTGAGACTTTTTCCCCTGTGGCCAAGATGGTTACTGTCAGATCTGTCCTAGCTGTGGCTGCTGCTAAACACTGGTTGGTTTTTCAAATGGATGTGCACAATGCTTTCTTGCAAGGCGATCTCCCTGAGGATGTTTATATGGTTGTGCCTCCTGGTTTTTGTAGACAGGAGGGGTCTAACAAAGTCTGCAAACTGCACAAATCTCTCTATGGGCTCAAACAAGCACCTAGGCAATGGAATCTGAAGTTAACTGAAGCATTAGTTTAGTTGGGGTTTGTCCAAAGCCATTATGATTACTCATTGTTTACTGGAACAATGGGAAAAGAATTGGTGGTGGTTCTTGTATATGTAGATGATCTTCTAGTAACGGGTAGTTGTAGCAGCTTGATTGAACTGACTAGAAATGATCTGAAACTTAAGTTTAAGATGAAAGACTTAGGAGAACTGAAGTTTTTTCTTGGCATCGAGTTTGCTAGAACTAAGGAGGGGTATGTGATGAATCAACTCAAGTATGCTTTGGAACTAATCTCTGAAATGGGATTGAGTGGTGCAAAACCAGTTCATACACCAATGGATCCTAATGTAAGGCTGACATCTATTGAGTATGATAAACATGTACATGGATCAGAAGTTACTTCAACAGATAAACCTTTGAAGGATATTGGAAGATATCAAAGGTTGGTAGGAAGGCTGTTATATCTAACAATGACCAGAGTAGACGTATCCTTTGCAGTACAAGTCTTGAGCCAGTATATGCATGCTCCAAAAGAGTCTCACATGGAAGCAGCTCTGATACCATGTTAGAATCTGTAATGGGGATTCACTAATTGAGGAAGAAGAGAGAAACAAATCTATAGTAATACAACCTATTACTTACTGATCCTAAGTAATGCATCCATTGCCCACTATACTAACCCTCACTGATTAATATAGACTTTTGACCGTAAGACACAAAGTTAACCTTAACGATGTTCTTAAAATGATTCACACAAAGTTTTGAAAGTGAAACGAATCCTACAAGATAAGCACAAATACAAGCAATCAAAATAACAACAGGTTCAGGAAGCAATTCTTCAGTCGATTAGGTCCCTTGTTGTTTTGTTTGAAGCTTGATTTTTCTCTCTTTGAATGAATGATTTGTTAGTTGTTTGTCATGTCGAATATATCAATCCAAGAAGAATTATTGACCATTGGACAAACAACCTCGTCCATTCCTATTGGTTAAGTACGCTGATGACGTCACCAACCACTGACAAGACAGCTTTCCAGTTGTACAACATATTGCCCTGGACGAGAACACTCTGCAGAGGACCGGGTCCTTGCGTTTGTGAGGATCATCAAAACATCTGAAAACCTATCAATTCCTCTTACTTCTGATCTTGGTCGTGCTATAAATAAAAATGATTATTTAACTATTACTTGTCATTGGATGAATTTTGATTTCGTCATGCAAAAACGTATTTTATCATTTCAACATGATGAACACCGTAGACATACTGCAAAATTTATTTATGAATCTATGTCCATAGTTGCAAAATATTATGGGTTGGACACAAAGTTTTATGTATTTCTTTTGATAATGCATCTAATAACACTGCTGCAATTGATTCTTTATAAACTGAATTTTCCCCCCCTTAAGAGGATATTTTCATATTAGATGTGCTTGTCATATATATAAATTAATTGTAAAAGATAGTCTTTATTTTTTTGAGTCCAGAATTAAAAAAAAATTAGGCATGCAATTGATTTTATTCAAGAAAATAATAGAAAGTCTGGACTTAAAGAATTTAAAAAGAAACTGTGAGGACAATAATCTTAGACTAAGATTAATGCCCAAAGAAATAAAAACAAGGTGGAATTCTACTTATGATTTTTTAAAAACTTGCAATATTTATAGAGTGCCTTTAACTACAACTTTTAAGCAAAATGCATATAAATTTTCTGAAGTCATGTTGCAAGAATCTTATTGGGTGTCACGAAGACAAGTCAGCCTCAACCCAACGAAAATGAAAGAAAAGCCGGAAATACAAAAAAAAAGAACTAAAGCAAAAAACTTATTAATTCTTCTATTTAAACCCCCACAATCTGGTTGTCACGGGTACAAGACACTAAATAAATAACTGTTGACTTAAGAAGTTAATACAAGTCTCAAACTTTGTTTCTCAAATAGAAAAAAATCTAAGAAAAGGAAAAAAAGGGTTGCCGGATGACAAACAACAACCTCTTCAAGTCCTTGACAAGTCTAGAGAAGGAGAAAGAGATCATGCAGGTCCGGGATTGAAATCTGCACAAGTGTAGAAGCAAGGGATGAGTACCAACAACACGGTACACAACAAACAACCTACTAAATGAAGCAACTATCTAAAACATGAACACCCCCGACTCTCCCACCGAACCTCTTCAAACTATAACCTGCACAGAAATTAGCCCAACCTAGAAATACTTGTCACGCCCCGATTCTACACCCTGGACGCGACTGGCACTCGAGAACCATTGATGTCCCTAAGCAAACCCTTAGTCTGACTCAACTCTCAGCGGAAGAATTTCTCAATAATAGATAAACTCAAAAGTAGAAACTTTACTCATAGTCTTTAAATTAAGTAACTCATAAATATGTTAAAACATTCACTAGCCAAAATAGGCAACTCAAGTCTAGAACATAACAAATGAAAATGAAACAGACTTCTCAAAACTCTACTATCTATCTATGAAGCCTCTACTAACTAAGATGGATGTCGGGACAAGACCCACGACATCCTAATAAATAAAACTAAAATGTAAAATCAATGTGAAACCCTCCGGAAAGCAAGGAGGCTCACCAAATCTAGCTGGAACTCGATTGGATCAACAGAGCTCTGATTACATGTCTTTGCATCATAAAACGATGCAGGCCAAATGACATCAGTACATTGAATGTACGAGCATGCAAGGGGAAATCTAAAACATGACATAAGCTTGAACTGGAACTGAAGAAAAAACTTACCTCATCTCAACCTCAACTCAATTCAATATAAAAGAAATATTAAAGATGCAATATAAAGAAAGCTCTTAAAACAGGAGATAATAACTCAATGTATTAAAAAATACAATAATAACTCAGTTTGTATGTAAAAATACAAAATAACTCTATTTGGGAGATTATCTAACCGACATCCATCGCTCTGAGCTATGTGATGATATATCGTCTCGCCCACGCTGCCAGAACTGTCCTATACCTTTCCGAAGTATAGTACATCCTCAAATAAGTGGATCCACTAGTATATGCTTGAAATCAATAAGGAATCATCTAAAAAGTATGACCCTTTCTACCCATGTTGGCTACATGGTTTATGAGGACTTTGAGTTGTATGAACTCGTTCCCATATCGGTGCTCAATACTACTCCCAAAAATATAAATCAGTTCATATATTTAAAAACATTTTCTCATCCTCAAATTTTGAGATTATTACTCAAAAGATTCCTCTTAAAAGAGGTAGTACTCAAAACTCCTCATGAACTCATTTGGAAATCGATGTTTCCCCTCATTTTAAATGTAAAAACATTTACTCTTTGGGAATACTTGGTTCCCATATATTCATTTTGTAAAATGAAACTCAACTCTACTCATCCTCATACTCAAGCCTTAAAACAAGTAAAAGTGTATAAAAGGCTTCTCAAAATGACTCGAAAGACTCTCTCAAACTTGACTCTTAACTCTATCTTGAATTTGAATTATGAATTCCACGGGGAGAACTTAAGAAAAAGATAAACTTCTGTGAGTGAAAGTGAAATTTGTCTAGAAAGTTGGATGAGTTTTTGAAACTTGAAAGCTTTTTGAAGACAAATATTTTAAATTTTGATCTAAAATCTATAGTTGAATGCTAGTTTTATCGATAAGATAAATATATTTTTTTTATTATAGCTTTAAAACACTTTTTTTTATTCTAGAAAAATGCTATAAAAGTGCTTGTTAGCTATTTTGTCTTTCTTTTCGTACCCTAATTTTCTCTCAAAATGCAAAAGCAAAAAGCCAGAAGTCGTGCTATATCACCATTTAAGGGGAAATCAAAGTTCCAGACTTGATTAACAATCTTCCAGATGAAGCTTTACACAAATAGTCTCATTACTCTCAGCTAAAGAAGCTGTATCAACTAGAGTATATTCCAAGCGTTGGAGATTCCTATAGATATCCTTATCTCGGCCTTTTTAGGATATGCAAAAAATTAACAATCTCCGTACCAGAAGTCTCGCCACTGTTGACAAGGTTCTTTCATCTCTCTTTTCTAATGTTGATTTTTTTTTTCATTTACATCACTCCCCACAAGATTGGGTATGCTTTGAGAATACTTCGTTGAATTGAATTTCAAAAAAATAAAAAAAAGACTTGAATGAGTTTCACCTTTTATGATAGAATTACTATAACAAGTTTTGTTGAGGTCAATTTTTGTATTGAGTTTGGGAGAGCGTGTTGTTCGGAAAAGTGTTCTACATAGATCTAGGAAATCAATTTCAAGGGAGATTTCTTCATTTGTGGGGCTTAATGAATATGTTCTAGCAGTTGATTTACCTTTTAAAGGTTGTGCCTCTCATGGTAAGACCCTAAAACTTGGAGGTCGCTTTGTGGGCGAAAACACCCTAATCGTAATTCTACATAGTTGGAAGTTTTGGAGAAATTGACCCTTTGTTGTTGTTTCTACTTATCGAGCAATGTGAGCATTCATCACTAGAAACTAAAGTTATTAGAGAGTTTTATATGAATGTACAATAATTTTTCCTAATTTCTGAAAACCTAGAAAAGTTAGTGCTAGAAGACCCTTTCTTTTCATCCACAAAATCTCAAATTTTGTGTCCAAACCTTTGGGATTGCACTCCAAAAGGCAGCTCAGGGACATTTGTCTAAAAAACTTCAAGTTTTGGACACAAATTTTGAGATATTGTTGATGAAGGAAACAATCTTTAAACACCAATTTATCTAGGCATTCATAAATTAGGCATAAATCTTGTTCACACATATGATAAATCTCTACTAACTTGAGCTTTGATGAATTTTCACATTAATCAACATGTAGGAACAGTGATGAAGGGTGAATTTCTCCAAAATCTCACAATTATTGAGGATTTCGATTAGAGTATTTTTGACCAATAAGAAATTTCTAAGTTTTAAGATCTTAATATTTACACAACCTTTAAAGGGTAAACTATCTTTTAACACATATTCATTTAACTCCACAAATTGAAGAAATCTCCCTTGGAATATGTTTCCTTTCGTTATAACGCTTTCCCTAACAAATTTCTCTCCCAAATTTGATACAGAAAACCACTTAGACAAACTCATTATAGTGATTCTATCACAAGAAAGTGAATTCATTCAAGTCTTTTTTCATTTTTCTAAAACTCCATCCACCAGGGCATGTAATCGAAGCAAGCCCAAGTTCGTGGGGGGTGATGTAAGTGCAAAAATTTGACATTAAAAGAGAGTGATAAAAGAATCTTGTCTACAATGGCGAGACTTCTAGCACAGTGATTTGTTGATTTATTATAGATCCAAATAAAGTCGAGACAAGGAGTTTCTATTGAATCTTTAGCATTTGGAATATACGCTAGTTGCTACAGCTTCTTTAGTTTGAACAAATGAGATTATTGAGTGAAAAACTTCATCTGGAAGTTTGCTAATCAAATCTGGAGCTTCGCTTTCTCCATCAATGGTGATATCATTAAGCTTTTGTTTTTTCCCTTTTTAATTTTGAGAGAATTCTAGGCTAGGAAGACAAAATCAAGACAATTTATAAGCACTTTTATAATGTATCAGTAAAATAAAGCTTCAA